TAGGCTACCCTGGCATCACTGTTGCATGGCATGTTCCTCAGCACAGCAACATCCCCTCCAGAGTGGAGCACTTGCTCCAGGAGAGAGGGAAGGCTCTGGAGCAGCAGTTCTCAACCTTCCTGATGCTGCCACCCTTTCATACAGCTCCTCAGGCTGTGGTGACCCCCCCAACCATAACATTACCTTTGTTGCTACGTCCTAACTGTAATTTTGCTAGTGTTATGAATCGTAATGTAAACATCTGTGTTTCCCGATGGCCTTAGGTGACCCTTGTGAAAAGGTCATTTGACTCCCAGTGGGGTCGTGACCCACAGGTTGAGAACTACTTCTCTAGAGCCTGGAGTGGTGAACAAAGTCAGGTCTCTAGGAGGAATAGAAGCTGGAATTCCTGAGGGCTTCTACCAACAGAATAAAAGGGATTGAACAATGGGTAGGGGGGAGAGACTTTGGGTCAGCCAAACTGAGAAGATGTTTAGATTGTGGAGTTGCCTGAATAGAGCTCGGGGTTGCAGGTTTTAGGCAGTCATCACTTATGTCAGGGTAGGCTTTCTGCTTCTGAACTACCCCTGCACCACATAACGAACCCCTCACCTGTACTCCTGTTAGTAAGCCCAAAAAAACCTCCCTGGCTCACAAAATTAGACACTGGTGTAATTGTTGTTTTGGTCTTCGTGGGCTCCCTTTTCTGAGGTGAGTAAACGTGTGTGTGTGTGTGTGTGTGTGTGTGTGTGTGTGTGTGTGTGTGTGTGTGTGTTTGGGGATGTGAGTGGATGTGAGTGTGGGTGTTTGAGCATGTGTGGATGAGTATGTGTGTTTGAGTGTGGATGTGTGTGAGCTTGTGTGTGTGAGTATGTGAGTATGTGTGTGAGTGTATGAGTGTGTGTGTGAGAGTATGTGAAAGTGTATGTGATTGTGTTTTAGTGTGTAAGTGTATGTGTGTGAGTGTGCATTTGACTATGCTGTGTTTGAGTGTTTGTGAGGGTGTCTGTGTGTGTTTGAGTATGTGTATGAGTGAGTGTAAGAGTGTACTGTGAGTGTGCATGTGTTTGAGTGTGTGCAAGTGTGTGTGAATGTGTGGGTGTATGCAAATGTATGAGTTTGTGTCAGTGTGTGCATGAGTGTGATTGTATGTGTGTTGTAAAAGTGTGTGTGTATAGCGTCTCTTCAGGGAAAGTCTGTCACACAACACTGACACAGCTTTCCCTATCTAACATTGCAGCACCCACTTTGCCCATGGCCAGTTCCCCACTAGTAAATGATTATGTAGCTTACTGCACACCCCCAACTCCCCACCCTGATCCCCACCGATTCCAGGAAGTATTAGCTCTCTGTGGTCTTTCTAAAGAGATGACGAGTCCCCTCTCCTTGCTGGGCCTGCTGCCCCCAAGATGGCGCTAGGGACCTCTCCAGTTCTGCAAGATACAAATGCCATTGCTTCTCCCGCCAGGCTCCCTTCCCTCCCCACCACTCCCAGCCCAGCCCCGCACAGGAAACACTGTCCTGGAACATGCTAGATAGTAAGTAAAGCCAGTGAACGTGTTGTAGATCGTGGAGCGCGCTTCACGAGGACAAACCTGAAGCAGTTTGAAGACTCAAAATTAAAGACCCCATATGCTGCTTCTTTTTTTTTTTTTTTTTTTTTGGTTTTTCGAGACAGGGTTTCTCTGTGTAGCTTTGCGCCTTTCCTGGGACTCACTTGGTAGCCCAGGCTGGCCTCGAACTCACAGAGATCCGCCTGGCTCTGCCTCCCGAGTGCTGGGATTAAAGGCGTGCGCCACCACCACCCGGCCCATATGCTGCTTCTTAGTGATGTTAAACCTATTTTAAAAGAGTCAGAAATAAATAAAGGATGACCCTGCCACCCATTAAGGCTTCCCAAATCACTCAGGTGACAGAGGCACATATCTCAAACACCGGGATATGGACAGGTTAAAATGAAACATGAAGGAGTCCTCTCTTAGCATATCCTCCCAGAGATTGTGGCATTTGTCTGGACCTTGAATGAAATGTCATTTTTTTTTCATAGTTGTTTTTGGTTTTGGTTTTGGTTTTTTTGTTTGTTTGTTTGTTTGTTTGTTTGTTTTGGTTTTTCGAGACAGAGTTTCTCTGTGTAGCTTTGCGCCTTTCCTGGAGCTCACTTGGTAGCCCAGGCTGGCCTCGAACTCACAGAGATCCGCCTGGCTCTGCCTCCTGAGTGCTGGGATTAAAGGCATGTGCCACCAACCGCCCGGCAAAATGTCATTTTTTAATTCTTTACATTTACTTATTTCACTTCATGTGTGTGAGTGTTTTGATTGTGTGATATGTCTATGCACCATGTGCATGCCTGGTGTCCAGAAAGGCCAGAAGAAGGCATTGGGTCTCCTGGGGCTGGAGTTATAGATGACTGTGAGCCAATGTGTGGTTGCTGAGAATCAAACTTGAATCCTCTGGAAGAGCAGCCAGTGCTCTTAACCACTGAGTCATCTCTATAGCTCCCAAATGTTATTTCTTTAAAGTACTAGGAATAGAATAGCACCTCACGCATGTCAGGCAAGAGCTTCGTCATCCCAGATCTCAACACTGTTTTACTAAGTTGCCTGGGCCGGCCTTGAACTTGGGATCCTCCTGCCTCTGCCTCTGCCTCTGCCTCTGCCTCTGCAGCAGCTGGGATTACACCTGCTCTACCAGGCCTGGCTGAAAATGTCTATTTTAAACTTCCTAATAATTGCACGTAGTTTGCAGTTCCAGCTGCAGAGTCAAGAACAAACATGGAAGCCATCATTTCTCATAGAGGTGACTTTTCATTCCTTCCTATCTTCTTTCATATTGCTATTACATTGTTGTGGAATTTTTAGATTGAGGGTAAACAATAGGCCCTAATGACCTCAAATGGACTTTTTCCATTCCCTGTTCTGAAAATATCCTGGTGAGATGGTTAGACCATTTCTACAGCTACAGAGAAGAGTGTGGGAGTGGAGGAACTGCAGCAGGCACAGCGCCCCACCCCCACCCCCATGCCACCTCCAACCCCCCAACCCCCCACCCCCCACCCCCGGCCTCGGCGTCTTTATAGTCCCCATCTGCAAGCTTTTGAGCCACACTGCATATGTACCAGGAACCTGAGCAGGATTAAACCATGCCAAAAACTGAACTCTTTTTAAAAAGAGTTCTATATTTTTAGTTTATGTGCATAAGTATTTGTCTGCACATATGTATGTGTAGGCAATAGGCCCATGCCTCGTGTCCATGGAGGCCAGAAGAGGACACTGGATCCCCTGGAACTAGAGTTACAGATGGTTGTGGGCTGCCATGTGGATGCTGGAAACTGAACTCAGGTCCTCTGCAAGAGCAGCCAGTGCTCTTAATCACTGAGCCATCTCTCCAGGCCCTAGCTTTTTTTTTTTTTTTAACTGAACAAGCAAAAATGTTCTCCAAAAAGCCTACAAGGTAACCCAAGGCAAATCCCTGCCTTTACAGTTTTTAAAATAGATGGTCAAAATATTCTAGTTCAGTCTAGGAACCTGAGACTATTTGGATCAGGAAAGAAAGAATCTGGAAGATGTGGGATGAGAGTGGGGAACAGACACAGACATGGGAATCTCACAATTGAAAGTGATCTACCTTCTACCCAAGGCTTGAGTTCTCTCTATAGTGCCCCCTAGCTGGAGTCACCTCCGTTCAGGGAGCTTAACTCATTCTCACAGGACAGCCCCTGCCATGCAGACCACTGGGCCTGGGTGAACATTCTTTAGAGTGACCCCTATAATTCCTAAGAAGCCTGACCCTCTTCCATGTAAGAGTGGTGTGGTTTATCTTCACCAAAAGTGTCCATCTCTGTCTCTGTGTGTGTGTGTCTTGGTGAATCTCTCTCTCTCTCTCTCTCTCTCTCTCTCTCTCTCTCTCTCTCTCTCTCTCTCTAAATGCATTGAGGTTTTGCCTGCATTCATGTCTGTGTGAGGATGTCAGATCATCTGGAACAGGAATTACAAACAGTTGTGAGCTGCCATGTGGGTGCTGGGAATTGAACCCGTGTCCTCTGGAAGAGTAGCCAGTGCTCAACTACTGGGCTGTCTCTCCAGTCCCCTCAGCAGATTTCTTAAACCTCTCAAGTGCTCAGGACTGAGCCGAGTCTCCAGGGATAAGACCTTTCACCTACTGCCAGCGAATCCCCATACCAAGAGGGATCTAGCTGCCTCCCCACATCTTCACAACCAATGAACAGAACAAAGGAAATTGCTTTTCCTGCTATCACTGCCAAGAATCATCCTGAGCTGTTCCAACCACAGCGCCTTCCCTCCCTGTGCCCAGAAGCCTTGCCCAACTAGTCCAGGCAGCAGCGTCTGTGTGTAACGACACCTCTGTACCAGCAGAGGACACTCCACACTGCTTAGACAGAACAAGAAGGACCTATTGACAGATTGGAAACTGGGTGTGGGCCCCTGGGAGGGGTGGGAACACCTCTGCATGAACCTGGGAAGGTCACAAGTTGACTAAGACTGCGCCATTTTTCTGATAATGGATTGGCAGGGAGTGTCAGGTGTCCTTCAGCAGATATGGGAGGAGCGAGAACCGTGACACAGTGGTGCAGGGCATCATGGGTATCCATCCTTTCATCAAAGACCTAAAAATTACCGGCACCACCCAAATGTCTTGTGGGCATCTTCCTCCCACTTCTGTCTGGCACAAGGATCCAGCCAGCCTTTGCTTTAGGGAGCCGTTCTATAGACCACATCTGTGCCTTCCCTCTGTAGCTGCCCGCAGGCCACATCTTCAGGGAAGGGGCCTCTGCTGCTTACCTGACAGCTCCCACCTGCCCGTATCTTGACCTTGCCCTGGCTCTTCTCAACTTGAATCCTCGGTCCCCGTGGACTTCTCTTCCAGGCTGCTTCTTGCAATTCGCTCCCCTCTCAGTTTCCATGACAGCAATTAGTGGCAGCTCCCTTAACACAGTTAACTGTCTGTTTTCTTCTTTGTCTGTAGGCAGAGTGGCCCTTGGGTTTTGTTTCTAATCATCTTCTCTCTACGACCACCAAGGTATTTTCAAGAGAAGTAATTCCAGATGGATGGATGAAATTTTAAAACAACAGCAGGAACTTTTGGGCCTGGATTGTTCCAAATACTCACCAGAGTTTGCAAATAGTAAGGACAAAGACGATCAAGTTGTAAATTGCCCTTCAGCAGTGAAGGTGCTGTCCCCAGAAGTTGGAAAAGCAGATGTTGTGGGAGCTGCCCAGGACTTTTGCCAGTTAGTAGCTCAGCAGCAGAGGAGACCCACAGATTTGGATGTAGATCTGCTAGACTGGTTACTTAGCTCACACAGTTTCCCTGGTCCTGATTTAGTGTTGAAGTTTGGTCCTATGGACAGCACATTAGGCTTTCTTCCCTGGCAAATCAGATTGACTGAGATCATCGCTTTGCCTTCTCACCTAAACATCAGTTATGAGGACTTTTTCTCTGCCCTTCGTCAGTATGCAGCTTGTGAACAGCGTCTGGGAAAGTAGTGGTTCCTGGTTGCATCATATGATTTCAGGCTTTTGGAGAAAAGGACCCAATTGACTCTGATGCTTACAAAGTATCTGTAAAACCTTGTACACAGCTAGTTCATATACCTCAAAATTTATCAACAAACACAAAAAAGAGTCTTACTTGAGAGTGAATGAGTGTGTGCTTGTGTGTGTGCATGTGTGTGTATGCACGCATGCACGCATGCACATGTGTATGGAGATAAATTTATAAATGGAGCACATGGAGAATGGAGTACATAGAATAGAGTACACAGTTCAAGCGTGTAGCCACCATGTCTTAGGAGCTGAGATTTCAGATGTCGAGGCGTCAGCTCCTGCTGCTGCTCTGTTTTTGTGGGGAGTACAGGCATTGAGTAGAGCTGGCTTAGTTGTTTGTGGTGGGAGGGGATGGTTTTCGTTCAGTCTTTATAGTGACCAAACTTTAATTTTAAAGAATAATATATTGATCTACTAGTGGAAGTATTCTCATTTTGAGGGACATTCCGAGAGTCTGGATTGTTCACATGTTAAAAGTTTGCTCACCTGCAGAGCAAAGGGAACCACCTCAGTTTTCCGTCCATTTCATTTCATTATAGTTAGCAGTGTGACCTGAGAGTATTGCTCTCATGTCTGGGTTGCAAAGACCATTTGAAGAAAAAAAATCTTACAATATTGAAGTACAGAATACAAAAAATTTAAATATTGGATTAGGCAATCAAAAACCAAAAGGGAATAAATGATCATCTTAAAGACGGAAAATTTTCTAAAAGGACAGAGGAGATGCTGCCGCCATGAGAAGCAAGATGTAAAGGTACCAGTAAGCCACGAGCCACATGGAAAAGTATAGATTTATAGAAATGGGTTAATTTAAGATGAAAGAGCTAGCTAGCGAGAAGCCTGAGCCAATAGGCCACACAGTACGTAATTAATATAAGCCTCTGTGTGTTCATTTGGGTCTGAGCGGCTGCGGACTACAAGGACGCAGGAGCTGGGTAGGCACAGGAAAACTTTCAGTTACAAATGGTGCCCAATGGCTCGAGTTTCCACCTGAAACCTGAAAATATTTAATAAGCATTTCTAAACAGAGCCAAAAACAGGTTCCTGCTTCATGTTTCATGTGAGCAGCGAGACACCACAACATGCAGGCTTGAGGTACTCTATGGCAGGTTTGTGGCATGTGGGCTTGACCTGGGGCATCTCCAAGCTGCACATTATACTGTGTGGTGGATTTAGCCTTTGCTAGAACAGACAGAAAAAAAAAGGAGAGCGGGTTTATGGACTACACATTGCTGGATGGAAGCATAGACCACTGCTTCCCAGAGTCAGCAGTGAGCGTGGTTCCCAGAGCTGGCCGTAAACATAGTTCCGCCATGTTGGGAAGCTGAGGTGGGCGGAGCCAGCAGCCAAAGCTGCCATTTCAATCCTAGTAATGCTTCAGTTTAAAGCAATAGATTCACAATAAGGCAGATTCAGATGGAACAAGACTTTAAATGGTTTACAGTGTGTGTAAAAATGTATGTAGGCTTAAAAGAGAGAGAAAAAGGAATATATGCAGTTATATAAAGAAATAGAAAGTTTTAAAAAATAAAACCTTTAAGAGAGAGTAAAAGTAATATAAAAAATAAGCCATGTAAAGATGGATATTACACAGAGAATCTGGATTGTGTTGTCTTTAAGATTTTTAACTGCAGAGAGACATTTGATTGTAAAGGCTACTTAGTTAACCTGGGTGGTGGTATCGCACACCTGTAATCCCAGCATTTGGGAGGCAGAGCCAGGTGAATCTTTGTGAGTTTGAGGCCAGTCTGGTCTACAGAGCGAGATCCAGGAAAAGCGCAAAGCTACACAGAAAAACCTTGTGTCGAAAAACAAAACAAAACAAAACAAAACAAAACAAAAAGGCTACTCAGTTAAACCAATATGTATATTTTAAAGGTACCTTGACTTCAAAATTTGGATCTGAGGATATGTTGCTTTGGAAAGGAGACTCTGCTTTTGTTTCCACAGGAGGCAAGAGGCTATGGATTTGTTCCAGATTAAGATACATCAGGTTTGGCCAGCCAAGACCCCCTGAAAGGTCTCTGATGACACCATGGCCCAGATGATCCAACATCCAGAACCATTTCAAGGCAACTGGCTCAGACAATGCAGCCTCACAGACCATAATTCTTAATTTTCTCAGGATCCTCATAAGAATACAGTGCCCGGCCGGGCGGTGGTGGCGCACGCCTTTAATCCCAGCACTCAGGAGGCAGAGGCAGGCGGATCTCTGTGAGTTCGAGGCCAGCCTGGTCTACAGCGTGAGATCCAGGAAAGGCGCAAAGCTACACAGAGAAACCCTGTCTCGAAAAACCAAAAAAAAAAAAAGAATACAGTGCCCTTTATCAGCAGGAAGTAGCCTAGAAAACTACACCCACATTCCCAAAAAAATGGATTATAGATGTTTGTCTTTGTTTCGGTTGTTGGTTACAAATTGTTATTGGTCATAGTCAATCTCTTTCTTTAAAAAAATGAGGATATTATATAGAAATATAGGATATAGATATGATAAGATAAAAGGGTAGATTATTGAATCTACTTTTAAAGAACAATACCTTGTTTAAAATGTTTTACATTGCTGTGGATTTTAGTTTCTTGATAAAAATTTAAAGTTAATTTTGTTATACTGTATGTATATTTCTACTCTTGTTTAAGGTATTATGTTTGTGAAGCTCATTTAAATTGTAATGTATCATTAAGAAATACAGATTAATAGTTAATCATCTATGACAGTTAAAGTTATAGTCATGTTAGTTTAGTTTTCTAGGTATACATAGGTATAATTCAGTTAGGTAGGTAATCTTCAAATACTTCAAAGACCTACAGAATATGGCATTTAAAATGTTTTAAAAACTTAGACTTTTCTGGACAATGAGACACATCTGCTCCTGGAAGCACCAATTACTTCAAGGAAGATGATGGGCAACAAAAACACTTCATATGGAGTTCATCTTCTTCATGGCAAAAGTTAGTCATTTGGGCAAGGAACTGCTCTTGCCTGGACTGCTTGACAAAATGTATCCATTGGACATGCAGGACCCATAGGAAGGTGACCACTGAACTTTGCAAGGCGAGATGGTCCTTCAGATTCCTGCTTCGCAGAGGAAACTTCCAGACATTATACAGGACACAGGAAAAAGTGACTGAGAGACGAGGCCTATAAGCTGAAGATGGATGCCCCAACATTGCAAAGGAACTTTGGGTGACTGTCCAGGCTGCCAGCTGTCTCTGTCATTCTAGATTTTTGGAAGTTGCTTACAATGCTCTTCCTGTTTACTTAGGTAATATTATATCCTCCTGAGGTCTTTGATGTAGTTGAAGACTAGATAATTATAATTTTCCTTGGTTATGATAAAAGATAAATTAGAGATAAAACTTTAGACTCACAAATATAGGATAGATGGAATATTTTCTTTAATTTTGCCAAATACAAATAGACTAGATATTATAACTGTAATTCTTGCTTGATTACTATTTTGTTATATGTAATTTTACTATGTTCAAGTTAAACCCTTCCTTTTTGATTAGACAGAAAAGGGGAGGTGCTGTGGGATGTTCTGTATGCTGTGAATTTGTTGCTATGATTGGTTGATAAATAAAATGCTGATTGGCCAGTAGCCAGGCAGGAAGTATAGGCGGGATAAACAGACAAGGAGAATTCTGGGGAGAGGAAGGCTGAGTCAGGAGACGACAGTCCGCCATCCAGGGAGCAGCATGTAATGGCACACAGGGAAAGCCACGGAACACATGGCGACATATAGATTAACAGAAATGGGCTGAGTTTAAGTGTAAGAGCTAGTCAGTGGTAGGCCTGAGCTAATGGCCGAGCAGTTTTAATTAATATAAGCCTGTGTGTGCTTACTTGGGTCTGAGTTGCTGCGGACTGGTGGGACACAGAAAAACTTCAGTTACCAGAATATGTTGTTTTAATGTCGAATAGAACAAACTAATGAAGAAAGTTATACATTCAAGAATTCATCTACTATTCTCTCGGGTGGAGATAACGCTTTTCACGACCGGAAGAGATAGGAGGAGTGGGGATGTAGTTGAAATGATGTGCCTTAGGTTAATCTCAGAATGCTCTAATAATGTCCCCACTCTAACACTCATGCAAATGCACGCACGCACGCACGTACGCACGCACGCACGCACGCACGCACACACGCACACACACCCTAAAGATGGTTGCTGTCCTAGGGATCTTTTGGAGAAAGCTCTGGATACAGTTTTCGCTTGTCACTCTGACGTGGTGGTGTTGCTGACATCTAGTGATTGAGATCAGATTGTGCTTGACTTCCAGAATGTGTGTCACATGCAAATGAAAAGTGCTTTTGCCACTTTCGATACCCTGAGTTGTTGTGGAAGTAGCTGCTATCTAGAGAAAAGAACGCATTTTTCCTTTCATCGGGAAACTTACTGGAGTTTTTCACCTCATTGTAAACTTGTGCCATCAATGGCGAAGCTTTTCAGAATGGCAGCAACACCAACAGAGAGCCCACATTTGCTGCTGGTTGAACAACGATTCCGGATTTGGGCACAACACTGATTCCTTCTCTATTCCAAAGCAACCTGGCCTAAGATCCTACATAAGAAAATATGTGGCGTGAGGAAGGGTTCGCAGGTCCCCACCCCTGGCTAGAGGCCATTTGCAGCTGATGGCTGCTAGGGAAGAAGAATCCGTTTCCTTCAAAGGGGTGTGGCCCTGGTGGGTCGACCACGCCCCCTCACCAGATAACCCCCATAGCTGTAAGTATATGTGTGGCACAAATTAGACTTGGTAAGTTTTTTAAAGGTGGGGGACATTGGTGGGGAGAGGCTGGGGGGAGCAGAAGGAGGGATGAGAGGGGGATCTGTGGTTCATATGTAAAATGAATAAAAAAATTTAAATAAATTAAAAAAGGTGGGGGACATAAGTCGGGTGGGGGAGGAGTGGGGCTGGAACTGTGGAAGGTGAATAGGATTAAAATACTTGAACACACGAAATTCTCAGTGAATTAATAAAAAACTTATTT